AGACGTACTCGACGATAATATTCAGGGCAGTGCGGATGGCTGTTTCCGGATGGCAGGATTCGCGAAGGAGCAGGAACGTTGCTCCTCCCGGCGTGATATCACAGCGATGACGATTCACGGCAGGCGTCGCCACTCCTTCACGGGGACACCTGTGTGCCTTGTAGCTGCAGGTGAGAGGAGAGTAAGACGGAGAGAAAGGACGCAACGATTATAAACACAGAAGCACATACTACGCGCGTACGCACGCAGTGAGCCACGTAGCGAAGCGAGACAGACCGATACCAGGCACAACGAGCGCGATACGAGGCACGATGCCAGCTCCGAAATGCTCCGTGGATTAACTTGGCGCGGACGACGAGCCTGGAGCCACGGACACGACGGAACTACGAGCGATGCCGACGTCGACGAGGAAGCACGCACCACGAAAAGCTGACACACACGCCGCTCTCTCGGCTTTTCTCGCGCACAAACAAGAGAAAGAGAAAGAGAGAGAGAGAGAGAGAAAGACAGACACGAACGCGAGAGAAACGTCTCGCGTCGGGATGTGTTCGTGAGGAGTGGACGAACTCGCGTAGACACGGTACACACACGCGCGCACGAGTGTACGCAGGATGGACGTTTACATCGGGGACGGATTCGCGACGGAATTAATTATCGCTGCAAAGGCGATACAACGTGTAGAAACAAACAGATACCAGACGAACGGGTAACAACGAACGACGACGACGACGACGACGACGACAACCGCGCCACGAAACACACACCGAGCGAGGCTCGCGAACACTGAGGGCGGCCATGCGATCGCCACGCCGCCACGCGACGCCGACGGGTATCACCGGCCACGAGACAACGCCGCGCCAGCCGAGAATGGGGGAAAGTGAAGCTACTATACCACCTTCGTCGTAATTTTTCATTAATGAATTTACGCAAGGGTCTGGAACCGGCCACTGGCAGCAGGATGGGTTACGTGGGTAACTGCAGGGTGAAATAAATCGTGACCTCCGGGTATTGGCGAATAAATACTTCATTCTCTTTATCTCGTGAAATTCCATACTCCATCGCGAATATATCGAACGCGGCTAAAATGAGATCATTGCTCGTACGTGATTATACGTGTTCTTATTGATGAAAAGCTTTCTCACATTTTCATGGAAATGTACCTTTAGATCCCGAATATTATACATACCTCAGCGACATTAAACGTGAAAGGATTGTTGAAAATATCTTCAGATTTTTATGCATAATTCACATAATTATGTACATGATTTGCATGATACATAATTTACAGAATTATTATAAATATCGTATTGAATTATCATGTAAATGATGAGAGAAATAGTTGAAACTTTGTTTCAATCTTACAAGTTAAATAATTGTTCACATAATGTTCGCGTGATCATCATTGATTGCATTGCACAAGTGCGTGATTACTGAAACTTCACCATTACTACGTACACATTTCTGTATACAAAACATCTTTTTACGTCGCTGTTGTATTGCGTGTTACATTTTAAAAATATAAACCACGTGCCATACTCGTGATCGACGTGTTTGGACAATGGTAACAATGTTCAGACTAAAGTCACGCGAACGTGCGTAACGATGGGAATCCTTAGAAATAATACCTCATTGTGCACTTTGCAATTATAACGAATTTTCCTTGTGCATTTCTTTGTATATTCATTAAATACGTTTATAGATGCTGATATATATATATATATATTTTATGCTTATATATACATTTCGATAGTTCGTTATTTTAATACTTGAAATTTAATATTAGAAATTATCGATGAATGTGTTGAGAAACAAAATTATAATTCGGGTAATATTATTTCAACAAAATAACAGTGTCGAAACGAATCAAAATTTTTGGCAAACGAGTTGATCAACGACGAGACGAAATAATTCCAACAGAATTAAATCCAAGTATTTTCGCGCGATTCGAGAAGCTGCAGATTTAATTAGACGCATTCAGCGTGTTAGTTAATGAAATTCCGATGCAAATTAAAATTTCCAAAGCAAACAATTAGAGGAACAATCGATGTTTAAGATTTCCGTTCCAGCTGTTTATATAAACAGATTTCAAAATATTCATCAGATTTCACAATCTTCATCGAAACGCCAAAGATAAACTTTATCTTCGATATTCGACAATTAATGTCGTCCCCGCTTTCCTGCAATCACGTACTCTCATTTAAAGATCTAGGATCTTCAAACTAAGTGAAATCTTAGGATTCCTGGCCAACCTCTCAACAAACGCGAGACAAAACGAAAGAAGATCAAAGGCTAAAACGATTTTCAAGAACAAGGGAAGATTCTTCGTACGATGTCTACGTGAGCAACGACAAGAAATACTCGAAAATGGAACTTCAGAAGAATTCTGAACTGGGACTAATCGGATTCCATGAAACAAAGGACTCGAGTGTTGTCTACTTGAACGATATTTCGAGGGATTGCAGTAAAGACGCAGCTCGATTTCCTTCTGTATCTTTATTTGATCTGACCCTGTAAAAGGGAAATATCTCGATTCGAAAAGGAGAATATAGCTTTACAAATGTCGATCTAATGCACGTTAAATGGCAAGGGAAATGATATGATTGCTCGAGCGAAAAGAAATTCAGTTGTCCGCGTCGAAATCACGAATTACTCCACTCGTGTAATTTCTAAAGAGATAAAAGACAAATGGCAAGGTGAAATTTCGATCATTTTGTGCCAATTCAAATATTCTTTGTCTATGAACGTCAGGTGTTACCTAGAAAGTCAAGTTGAAACAATTTTAAACAATTCGTTTCACTTTTTACGAAAGAGAAAGCACCGATCTCTAAATGATACTGTTTCAGAAGATTTAACACACTAGTTAGAAAATACCGAGTCCACTCAGCCTGGTTCTACGTTATCTGCACAATTTTCAATACACAGTGACAATTTGACCAACGTCGTCTTTTGATTTCGTACGATCTAACGATCTAATCACCAAACATGAAGTACATGTTGCGCCACTCAAATAATTTTCAATCCCAATTAAGAATCGTTAGGGATTAAGAGTTGAAAATTCTTTCTTCATCGGAGAGTCGTTTCAACAATGCATCGGAAGCGTTGAGACGTGATCTGTTCGAATCTGGTAGGACGACGCCGGGCCACGTGGTATTTCCGAGGCGTCTAGACTCCCTAATTTAAACCGACTTGCGATCTACCGGAGTTTCGGCCCCGTCTAGCCGCTGTCACAACGAAACGACTGAAATATGAGAAACACTCAACCCTCTCTCAAGTGCCCGAAAATCTTTTCCTTCCCCGCCCGAGTTCACGGTGTAAATGTAAATCCACAGTTCA